AATGGGCAGGTAAAATACTGGCATTTTATATCTGTATTCTGTTCATCGCTGGTATCGAAACCCGATTATAGGCCCTCAAACTTACCGTTGAGCCACCAAGGGGCTAATTAAAACAAAAAGATTCGTTAACTTGACTGTTATAGTTTTGTTTATAGAAATAATATATAATATCGCAGCTACTCCCCTGCTCTATAGTTCTGAGCTTCCTTGTTTAGTTTTTTTGTTTTTTTTACTTCTGGTTGTGAACCGTTTATTTGTGTAGATTTTATAGACTGTGAGATAGCGAATTCTACTTTTATTTTGTTTTTGTTTTGTTTGCCGTTCATTTATTATTCCTCCTATCGTTTAGTTCAACTATTCTAGTTTTTGAAAGTTTATTATAATTATTTCTGTTGTTATATTAAATAAATTTTGTTTTACCCTGGTTGTAGCGGCGTTTTATTTAGGCCATTACAATACAGATAAGAAAAGTTATTATTGAAGGAAATACTTTAATAGATAATTGAAAAATGTGAATAAAAATAGGCTCGTTTATTTGCTTGATTATTTATTAGGAATGAGATTTTTTAAAATGTTGTAATTTCTTTCACTAATAGAAGTATTAGAATTTGGTCTACCTTAAGATGAAAATTCCGGTAGATGTCAGTTAAGGACTAACCCTGTTTAGTACGGTTCCGTAATACAGCCTCACTTGTAAGTTCTATCCTATCGTTAATTGGAAAATTTAACGGTGATTTACGAGACTGAAGTTGGTTAGTCCAAACTTTATAGAGATTTGGTGTACTGATTCAATTCCTTTTAAATTAGATACAAAACTAATCGCTACTTCAAAGCTGATCTTACCACTCTGTGTTTACTAATACTAGTATATATCATAGACTCATTACATTATTCACTTAAGTTAATCACTTAATGTTACTTTTACAGCTATAGTGATTTAAAAAAAATACAGTTGTAACAGCAGTGAAACTGTTTAAAATTAGGAACTTCCGAATTTTGTCAGACGCAATCAGTTTTTCTCTAATATGGAGAAGTGTAACTCTATAAAAGAGCTATTTGGTATGTTAGAGTCAAGTGATAGTATTGTCGTTGAAGAAATTAAAGTTCTCGTACATGAAAGTTTGAACAACACTCGAGAGCCTTGGTTGCTAAATGCACTCGTAGATTATTATGTGGCTTTTCAGTCAGAAAGATGCCTTGATATCATAGTGGGTGTTCGTGAGCCACATGATAAATTCTTATTTGATAAATTGGCGGAATGTTTGAAGGGAAAGACAAGACCACAATCTCTAATGCTTTTGGGACACGTTGTTCGTAAGCAACCGTCTTGGCTTTACAAAATTGCTACTCATAAGCTGTTTACATCACTTCTTCATGTACTGAAAACAGATACAGATATACCAAATTTAATGAGTGCACTTTTAATATTAGTCACTCTTTTGCCTGTGGTTCCAGCTTCCATTGGACCTTTTCTTCAAGAGATATTTGACATATTCTCCAGATTAGCAGCATGGAATACAAAGAAACCAAGTAATGTGCCAGCAGTTTTTCTTTTGCACTTACAGGTTGGTTTGTATTCATTGTTTCACCGCTTATATGCAATGTATCCTTGCAATTTTTTAGCATATCTCAGATCTTGCTATGGCCATAGAGATCCAAACAGAGAATATTCCAACAGAGATACTTTACAGGTATTTACAAAAACAATAAAACCAATGCTTGAGCGAGTAAGGCTACACCCACTCCTAGTAACAGCTTCTAAGGATGGTGAGCTAACAACTGCTATGTGGAAGAAAATGGAAATGCATGACATTATTGTTGAATGTGCAAAACTTTCTTTGGATGTCACTGAGGGAGCATGGGAAGAAAGTTTAAATGCTGGACAGTGGCTACACAACCAGTTAAGAGACCAGCGCTTTACTGGTTCAGATCGGCACACTTTTACACCTATTAAGTGACCTTAGCTTAGTTGTTGGCCAATTAACATCACAGTATTCTGCTTCAAAAGATGCTGATACACCATCAGCCCAGGATGTTAGTACTAGTGGTAACATTTGGAGTCCTTCACACAATTGTGGCTTGGCAACACCACCTGTTGCTCCTTCTGTAACATCTGTTGAGCAAACAAGTTTTGTTGCTCCACAAACAAATTCAACGCCACAAAGCCGGAGAAACAGTCCACCATTGGATGTAGCTGTTGAAGCAACCCCAGATAATCCATTACGTAATACCACCTCATCTGAAGTTAAAAGCATGGATGAAACACAGAACATTCTACAAAGTGTGAATGCATGTCTTGATTATGAAAAGCAAAATGAGTCAGTTCATTCATCTTTCCAAACCAGTTTGACAAGTGATACATCTGAAGATGCCAAAGAGGATGAAGCAGCTGATAAAGAAGTATCAGACATTGTTGATAATATGATTTCTTCAAAACCATCAAATGATGAAGCAGGACAAGCCACACCTTTTTTGTCAACCACACATAATCTAACTTGTGGTTTGCCTGCTGAAAAAGTAGGTTATGAAGTTCCTCTTGATGAAAATGAGCTTTACAGCAGTAACAAATATAATGAAAATCATCTTCCCATGGAGCAATTTTTTAGAAATATAAGCAGACTACGTTACTTTAGTCAATGTGGCCAACCTCCTGATATACCTGTTGAATGGGTTCAGGAATCTAAATCTTTTAAAAGAGCTCAGTCATGTCCAACCCTTCAACAAATAGGTGAGGTCAGTGACTCTGTGACTGCAACAGAAATATCCAGACTAATAGCAGACTCTACAAGTGGTTTAGTGAAACCAGAAGCTGGCAGTCCTTCAACATCTAGGACTGCTTCTAGTAGTGAAGGGCCTTCTATAATTATGGGAACTACTACTACTACTACTACTCCACCTTCTACAAGTTTCATTCCTGTTCAGAATGTATCTTGTAGTTCCCAAACCACTACTGAACAATTATCATATGAACACCTGTTCTCTTTAGCTCTGATGCCTCTTCCACACTTACTTGATCCTGAGCAATGTCAAGTTAGTGGGAACCAAAAAACTGTACAAGCGACAGAACAAACTAAAACTGTGTATAGTGTCAACCAATATAGTACTTTGTCAAGTACTTTTACTCCTGAAGTTCCACTTTTCACAACTTTGTCTCCTCCAGAAGTGCTAGATCGCCATCTTCAATTTGGTAGTGACATCTACTTGAAGGAAGTCAGTAGTTTACCTTTAACCAGCTCCAAAAACACCAACTGGACACATTTTGGTGGACAAGCTCCTATAGATGAGATAAACATTTTACGTGGACAAGTTTCTTTATTACATAGTCAGCTATTGTATGAAAGGCACAAACGAGAGATTCATGCTGAGAGAAATCGACGATTACTTGGAAAGGCTAAAAGAACCCGAGCTCTTGAAGAACAGAATGTAGCAATGAAAGATCAGTTACATCTGATAGAAAAAGAAAGCCAAGAATTATTTTATCAACTGAATATCATGCAGCAGAAAATAATTAGCATGGAAAATGATAAAGATCAACAGGCTCAGAAGCTGCAAGACAATTTAAAATCTGCTTTAGAAGAAAATGAGAGATTGAATTTTTCCAATCGAGAATTACAACAGTTACTGGTTTCCCATAAACAGGAGAATGATTCTCTAAAGAAGGAATTGCAAAAAACTCAAGCAGAGCTATTTGAAGCTACAGTTGAGCTAAGTTCAGTACAGAGGGAAGCTGCTGGTTGTGAGGTGCTAAGAAAAGAAGTGGATCATCTTCGTAAAGAGTTGACATTGTATGGTGAAGTCCATTTGCGCCTCAGGAAACAAGTCGAAGCTAGTCGTCCAAAGCCTCAGCTAGAGCAAGAGCTTGAATTAATGCAGCAGGCAGCAGCAGCTGAACTAAAGAACTTCAAAGATATATTTAACACCAGAAATGCTCACTTGGAATTTTACAAGTCAGCACTGCATGACCTGGAGAAAGTATCAGCCACTAAAGATACTGTAATAAATGAACAAAAATCACTGATGGAAACTTTGAAACAGACACATAGAGATCAAATAAAGGCTTTGGAAAAAAGGATTTATTCTCTTCAGAACATTTGCCAACAGTTGGAAAGCCACATAATGGAACTGTATGAACAAATAGACAAAAGCCAGTTTACTACACCAAGAATACTGGGTAGAAGAGAACACACTGACATCCACTCATTATCTACAGCAAGATCTGAACAAGTAAGCACTATTACAGACGAAGATGGCAGTTCACAAAGAGACTTAATTTCTTCCGTTTGCCAGACAACAAATGGTACAACCATTGCAGAAAGTAACCTAAACAATTCAGGACAAAGCATAGTTTCTTCTGACCAGTCATTGTGGAGTTTAACTCAATCAGTAGAACAAGAACTGGATCATCCACCAGCAGAAAATCCTAGTGTTGAAAATTCTTTAGAAAACAGTCATTTCCTAGATGTGGAGGGACCAGTAACAACTGAAAAATGTCCTCAGTAAATTGTGTGGTGTAATATATATTACTAATCTATTGTAAAATCAGCTGTTTGAAGAATTTTTGTGTTGATTCAGTTCAGGTATACAGTTCATGTGCTATAGAAACTGATAAGTGTTTTAGCGTTAACTTATCAACGTACCTGCTAATGTAAAAGGAAAACAGTTCTTTATGTATCACTGATTTAGCTTGTTTTTTTCATCAGCAGTAGTTACATTTATGGGAATTGATGTTGAATATTGTGATATTCTGTGAACTTTTCAATATTTTATTAAATGAAGTCAAATACTAATGGTATTTTTGAACAGAGAATTATGCATAGGACAGTTAAGAATAACTAATACTAAAAGTTGAAGGTTTTGTACTATGTAACATCCCTTATTGTTTCCAAAAATAACTTTAACTTTTCTTAAATTAGTTCTTATGTCATGAATTAACTTAAAATAGAAAATATCCAACATTTGACATTTTTAGATATAAATGTAAAGAAGTTTTAAAATCTGAAGATAAAAATTATTCTTTCAAGTTAATCAGTATGTCATTTAATAAGTGTAAGAAGATAATACAAATGATTAATAAAAAATTTATGTTAGTTGAAGCTCTTCAAACCCTATGGCTAGCAAACGTTTTTTTTTTTTTTCAGTTTTGAAGAAATGTATTTATACAATGTTTCTTAGTTCTTTAAAAGATATTTGCTATTGGACTACTTTTCATACTTACTTAGCAGCATAATTTTGATGGAGTAATTTAAAGTTGTAATAAGCTAAGTTTATTTTAGTAATGCTAAAAGTGCCCCTAAATTTAGTGTGATTTCATACTGCAGTATTACTACATTTAATATAAATTATATTAATTAAGAGAGTCTGACGAAATCTGTATCTCATGACAGTTTTACTAAATGCTCAGAAGATGGCGCTACTTATCCTATGGTAGAAAATAAAGATCCAATGCTAGAAATAAAACGTATAAAAATGCTATGGACTACATTGTATAAAGAGTGATTTGAATTGACATACTTAATTTTATTTTAAAACTTAAGAGTATGCTTATCACTGGCGATTAAGTAAATTCTGCACCTTTGAATGATGTTATGTTTATGCTAAAACTTGTACGCATAACTTGTTTTACTAAAATAGAGTATTCGCTTTGACCTTAAGGATTAAAAATGTTTTTCTGTAAATAAAATTAAAAAGTTTACAGAGAAAACACTATGAATAACAGTTTGAGTTTTTAGAATAACCATTAAGAAGTTTGCAACACTAAGCTGTTGTATTTCAAATTGTTAATTGTTTGAATTTATAGAATTGTATGGGAATTTTATTGCTAATAAAATTATATCAAGCATTATGGATATTACTGTCTCGTAGAAGTTTGTGATGGAAAATACTTTAATTAACATCTCTTCATTGTATACTAAATGAGAATATACCTGTTAGTGTTGCAGTAAACGTTAAGAAATCCTCTTTTGGTAGTTTGATTTTCATTTAATTTATATGGTGGTAGCCATGTCACTATCGAATGAAAATGGAGAAAGTATTCATTATTAGTATTAAAACTATGAAATAATTTTTTTAGGAAAAAATATTGATTGCACTACTAGATAAAAATAAATTATGATGATGATGGGTTACAGCTCTAATATTCTCTAATCACCTTTAACTGATTTTGTGACATTTTCATTATATGAGATAACAGTTAAATCGTTTGTCAATAGATAATGAAACAGTTTTAGTCTTGTTTTATTCTTTCAATGCATAGTGTTTTACTAGTATAGGTTGAATGATATTTGATCGTTACAAGGGGCTTGACATGGCCTTGGTGGTTAGGGCGCTCGAATAGCTATTTACGGATCGCGAATTCGAATCCGGTCACAAAACACATTTACCCTTTCAGTCATTAGGGCTTAATAATGTTTCGGTCAATTCCACTTTTCGTTGGTGAAAGAATAGCCCAAGAGTTGGCGGTGGGTGTTGTTGATTAGCAGTCTTTCCTCTAGTCTTCTGAATTAGGGACAGCTAGCACAGACATTCATCGAGTAACTTTGTGCGAAATTTCAAAACAAACCATCGAAACGGTATAAATAGCGTGTTTTGTTTTTTCTTTTGGATGACAGGGTTTAATTTTACAACACAAATCCATTTATTATATAAGAATAAGCAATTAAGTAGAAACGCTTAAAATGTTCTGTAGGAGAAACTCGATAATTATGCTAAAAACGTGAAGTTTCTGAAGACCAGGAAAAGCAAACATTCAGCTAAATATTGTTATGTACGATAGACGTATATGTAGTATTAGTTGATCCAGTTGTAGACTTTCTTTTTGTTTGAATATTTCATATTTTTCTTTTAAATTAACTCTATTTAAGAATATATGTTGCATTATTTTCCGAAAAATATGTACGGTATGTCTCATGCTTAATATACTGTCTATAATCCTTTTAAACAATGCTCAAACAAGTAGATTTTCAACATTTATTTTTGAAAATTATTAATGAATATTTATTTTAAAGAACGATTTATTTCAGAAATTTAAGTATCAAAGTAGCGTGAATGATAAATTGAAACGTTTGCGCTGGCAGAGGCAAATATATTTAACTACAGACTGAAATGCGTTTTTTCTGCAATTCATTAGGCGAGAATTATTTTAGTTTACGGCAAAAAATGGAACTATGAATTTCTGACATTCATATTCCTCAGATTGTTAATTTTAAACAAAATTTTCAAATTAATTATTTTAACATTTTATCAGCATTATAAAAGCGCCATCTAACGCGCACTTGAAAAAATATCAAAAACCCACAATCCAGTTGTTGTGCCTATGGCTGTGGATGTTGCGTATTATGTCTGCTTAGGGATAGTTAATTTAAAGATGGAAATAGGTGATATTTCGAGTGCTAGTGATTAATTTTTCAGTGGAGATAATACAGTTTTGTCTAGAACGTACACTAAGATGATGTGATGGGTAAAGGGACACTCACAAACTGGTAATTTCTTCAGTTTTATTTTAATTCTAATTTATATTGCATTATCGGCACAATTGAATTACAATTTACATTGTAAGTTATGAGCATTTGAACTTTGAAAAATGAACAGTTGAAGTAAACTGTCATTATATCAATGGAAGATTCATAGGCATAGGACTAACAGTAACACTGTGATGCTGCTTCTGTAACGTTAATACTAATACTAATAGTGACACTTAACAGTTCTGTGACATTAATATTTAAACTGAAAGAATAAGGTTAGGTTGTCAAATTGTATTTCACTTAGTAACATAGCCCTTGGGTTTCACAAATTCTTAATCAGATATTTTTTATTGATACAGTGATTAGTACTAGGGAGACAAATACTGAAATATTTATTATTTTTAAAGCAGATTCTGAAACTTGAAAAAGAAATGCAGCAGTGATTTATCATTATTTCTCTATGTAACTTCTACTTAATTTGTAGTATCTGTTAACTAGAATACTTGTAGTAGGTCATTACCCATATAGAATGATATACTCCACATTAACAGTATTAATATTATTATTACATTGTTCTTATAGAGTATTTTTTCCCCAAGAATGCTCTTACAATTTATTTGACTTGTTAGGTTTGATAAATTTATTTTAACTTTAAGTTATAGCATCACTGCCATTACTGGTGCTTATGAAAAAACCAGGAGCTTAGGAATAGCAAAAAAGTATTCTTCTTCTAGGTGAGATAAATATTTTTATTAGAGAAGAGTTATAAGGTTAAAGCTACAACTAACAAATAATGATCAGCCAAGATTCAGTAAGAGGTTTAACATATTGGAGGTTAGAATTTTAAGATTGCTTAAGTGAAAGTTTCAATTATGAGAAAAATGTCACTGAAATATTAGGTTTCAAAACCCCCGTAAAGTATTTTTGGATGGTAAGTCAAAACTTTATTACCTATACCACCCATATGTTTCATTGGTTGTGTGTTAAATTATTATCAAAATCTGTGAGTACGTATATTCTGTGTACATATTCACATTGAATTAATTTTTTTTGTATGAAGGTGTGTGTGGGTTATCTTATTTTTTAATTCAATGTTTCTCTAACTTCACCCCCAAACTGTGCTCTTTTCAATACAGTCAATCTCGGCTGAAAGTTTAAGGGTCTTTTTTTTTTCATTTCGTTTTGTAGGGATAACTTGGGCTCATCTAAGCTATCTTATTTTATGCTATCACCCTACTCTAAACTATATAAAGAAACCCATTTTTTTATATCCAACTCTGACTTCCCAAATACTTATCCTAGGACCACTTAACTTACTGGAGGTTTGCTACATCTGAAGGCAAACTGTTCTGTAGGCCAACTGTTTTAAATTAGAAAAGTAACACTGCCTTAACTAGAGTAGCATCTTATCTTTTTATATCTTACAATGTAAACTTGTGTCCTTTAGTCTTATTTTTTTAGAAATTTCATTAGGATTTCTGGATTCCAAACCTCTAAAAATCATAAAAACCTCAACCATGTCCTCTCCCCAGAGCATTCTTTTCATTGCAAACATGTTGAGAAATTTCAGCCCCATATAATTATCCCTGAACCTGAAATCATCCTGGTAGCTCTTCTCTGAACCTTCAACAACTCAACATCCTTTTTTAGATAAGGTGATCAAAATTGGACATGACAGTAAAAATAAAAGTACCTACTCTGAACCTTATAATAGAGTGAACTGATGACCCCCTTCAACTATCACACCAAATTATGTTTCTTTTTCAGTAAAAACGGTGTTCCAATTACAAAAATTAGTTGGGTTTTTCCAAATTTCATGTAATAATGTTTTACATCTAGTGTGAAAATTAATTTTCTTGGTCCTGGACCAATTGTTAGGACTTTGTGAGGCCTTTTAACATTAAAGTAACATATGTACAACAAAAGACCATTCAGCTCTTCAGGGTTGTTTCTGTACACCCACCCCTAAGAAAAAGTAGATAATTAAATCCACTCTTTATTTTCCATCTATTCCCCTCTTAAATTCTTGTGAGGTGCAGATCCCCAATATTGCTTTTAGCAGCTCTTTCCATAAGCCAATCACAATAATACTGATTTAACTGAAACTTTGCTTACTGTTTTTATATTTGGAACTAGTGTTCTCTTATCCTATTGCTTTCAGAATACAGCACAAAGAAGTTGGATGCCTTTATCCTTTTGATTCCACAAATTATCTTTGTAAACTTCAATAAGATCACACCTTCATTTCACAAAAGAATATAACTTAGAGATTTTATCCTATCCCTGAGATAACATTTCCCTGAAGCCCTCATTGTCTCAGCAATATGTCTGAAGGCTTATAGTGTGAAAATATAGATTTTGATACCCTTGGTGGAAACAGCACAGATAGCTCATTGGGTAGCTTTGCGTTTAACAACAAACAAATCATCCATGGAGTCATCCTAGTAGCCATACTTTGAAGTCTTCCCAATAATCCAATATCTTCTGTTAGATTTGTATACCAAAACTGTACATTGTATTATCAGTGAGGCCTAACTTGTGATTTGTATAGAGATAATTACCTCTTGTGACTTATAATCAGTATGTCTAGAAATACATCCTAAAATTCTATAAGCTTTACAACTAGCAAGAGAATACTGCTTCTATGGCTCAAGTGACTTATTCATCACTATGCATAGGTCCTTTTATTCAGTCATTCTATTTTGTGGATTTTAATCAACATTAAATCTGTGATCCAGTTATGATAACCATGTATATTACCTTGAAATACTTCTTCAACATACCAATTGATTCATATAATTCTGTACTTCAGCATCCTCAACACAGGAGTTTAGTGCTATTCACAAACTTTTCACTAATTATGCCTATATCAGTATCATTGAATTAGAGAGATATTACAGTTTAAGAAGTCATCAAAATCATAAAGCACCAAGATCTCAAACCCTTGAACAATTGTACTAGTATCAATAAAAAAATAAAAAAACATTTATCATCAACACTTACCTTCTGTTACTAAACCAGTTATTTTCCACAAAGATTCCAACTTTCCAATTAATCTTTTCTGCAAATTCTTATCAAAGGCTTTTTGAAAGCAAAGCTATACAAAATCAACAGAGGTGCTTTGTTATTATTAATGTAAGCATAAAAACCCTTCACATCAAATTTAATTCTTTTTAATGTAGAAATTGTTATATCCTTGTGCAGCCTTACAGCTGTTTAGGTTTCTTAACTTCATTTTGGTTGTTAAAAACTTTATTGTTTCTGTTTTACTAAATTTCATATTATTGTAAACTTCTGTGCTTTCTCCTTTTTCATTTTACATTTAGGATTTGTATTATAGTTTGTAAGCATAGTTTTAGAAGAAATGTATTCCTTTTAAGTAAAGTAGCTGTAAGTGTATTAGTTCTCCATAGTTAAAATAATGCCTTGTTTTTGGTATTAAAATTTCTAGAATGATTTTAAAAAATTTAAATACCATTAGCATTAGTTTTCCTTAGTATCTTTAGGAATAAGTTTTGAACAAGAGAAGGTAAAAAAAAAATGTGCAGAAATTCTGTCCCGATAATGAGAATGTTAATTTACATATGTGCAACAAACAGGAATTCTCTTTAGTTGCTACTGAAAGTGATACTGAAATTGTTGAAGCAAAATTATGTGGCAAGATTGAATGAATTGTAATTGTCTTGAGCATTTATCACAATTGAAGATAACTAAAAGGTACCTTGGTATTATGTGTGAAATCCTGGGACCATTTATAGTGCACTCAAAAAGTTATACCAGAATATACATTTTTTCAGCAAAGATATTAATTGTGTAAAATGAAATTAAAGTCATGCAAAGATAAACTTGAATGAGGAATTATTACAATGAGACATATATGTTCAGGTTTGACATTATCTTTAAATAGTAGGTGGATAACCCTGTTGGTGTGAGGAGTGTGAGCTTGGCCTAGAGTGAATATTTGGTATGGCATGTGGATGAGATAGTCTGTGGGGTAAACAGGGATAAAATAGTTAGATAATGCTATCCAGGGACAAGAGTGGAGGACATAATTGATGGAGTAAGTAAAACAGTAAAGGATGCTAGCAGTGATGAAGTCTTTGTTATGTACATAAGGCTAATGATGTAGAGGAAGGGTGTAGGTCAGAGTAGCTAATTGATAACTAAAGGGATTGAAAAAGGCATTTGAAAAGTATGGCCATAACTTAATTCTATCAAGATACTACCAAGAGTTAGTTGTGGAAATGAGATTATAAGTAGGTCACTAGGGCTGAATACATGGCTTAGGTTAACATGTAAGGACAAACAAATCGGGTGGTTGGACTTGTGGAATCAGTTCAGTGGGAAAAGGAAACATTTGAAATGGATGGTTTAAACTTAAATAATGTAGTGGCTGGCTTTTTGCAAGGGCTTTTAACCTGACTGTAAAGACAGCTAAAAACTAGGACTAAACAGTGGAGAGGGTGGGGATCAATTAAATGCAGAAAGAATAAGATATAGGGAAAAGTGTAGTGTAGAAACAAAATACAGAAATAGTTTTGAGAGTAGGCTATATTATTTCTATTGTGATGATAATCAAGATTGAAGATTTTGATATTATGGGATTAACTGAAACTTTGTTAGATGTAGACAATTCTGATGGCATAACTTTCTTTGAAATACAGGGTTATAGGTTATTTAATAGGAATAGAATACTAAAAAGGGGGTGGAGGAGTGGCTTTATCTGTAAAATATGTGTTATGCCCTGTTGAACTTGAGGATATCAAAGCAATAAGATTGAATATATTTAGGTTTCTGTTAGTGGATGTAAGTTTTTAAGTATTAAAGTTAGACATCTACCTTTTATAGAAAGAATAGTGGGGGCTACTATACTGTGTGGTCTACAAAGATATTTACATTTTAGCATGCAGTCTACACAGATATTATCATCATCACAGTTTTAAAGATTCATTAAAACATAATATCTTGCTAAATATTTTATATGTATTCACATTTTTCTTCAGCAAATAATAACAATT